ACTGCAGGCTGGACATGATTGCAAACTTTTTTTTAGGCTTGGTCAGTTAACTTGACCTGGTGACCTGACCTGACATGACCTGGGGTCAAAAATTTCACACATTGTCCAAAATTGATGTAACAAAAGCTACCCCAAGCGGCGCGGCGCTACGCGCCGCGGTTTTTTATTCACACGCAAAAAACGCGACAGGGTGGTAACATATGCCCCCCCCACTGGGGCGAAGGTTAACATTCATACAGACATCTAAACCCTAACCCTAACCCTCTCCTGCTAGGGGGAAGATGAAACCCCTTCCAAGGGTTTTCGCGCAGAAACGGCAGCCCGTAATCCGTATAGCGTCGTTAAATTTTGCATATTCTCTGCTGCATCCTTTAGGCACTTTTCCTGAAAATTGCAAGTCTCAAACTGCAAACATTACAGGTCAAGTCACAAAAACGTCACAAAAACGATAAAAGGTGAGGGCCTAGAATTCAACTTATAGTTTAGCGGTAACGAAGCCACAAAGTTCTTCGTAAATTAGCGTAAGCAGCAAGCACTAACTAGTAGGTAAGCACCGTTACACGCAGCGCTATCAAATTTCGGACACCCTTTGCGGGCATCCATTTTAACATGTCCTGGGACCTTTGATTGCCTGTGACACCGGGTCATATTACGAGGTCATAGCATCGGCACATATTCAATATAGCACCGAAATTATTCTATTTTATATCATTAACTTATAATGGTGAGGTCACGAAAATGACCTGGCCTCATATGACCTTTAGAAAAAAATCTGAGATATACAAGTTGTGCGAATCGTAATGGATGCTAAGTCCTGCACGTTTTATTTCCCTGTGAAAGCTCCTCTGGCAGTGAGGGCGTTGCGAAGTTGCGACATCTAAAGACCGTACAGAGGTTGACTTATGACGTCATAGGTCAGTGACTTGACCTGACCCGAAAATGCCGTTGGTGTCAAAAGATCCGGCTTGAATCAAAGGTCAGGTATCGGCCAAGTTTCAGCTCTCTTTCGCTAGCGTGTTCGGAGCTATCGCGAAAAAAACCAATGTGGGGCGGCCCCCCTCCTTGGCCGGCGAGGGTTAAAATTCACTTAATTTTAGTGAATTTAAAAGTTCAAAAACGTACCTATGCCATTCGACGCAAAGTGATGTGTTGAATTCGCTGGTGCCTTTATTTTGCTCTATACATATTAAGCAGCTCAAAACTTATAAGCGAAAAACTCATGGAGTGTTTCACGTGTCGGGTCGCGGCCGGCCGGCCGCGGACCATTTTCAGAAGTGGCGGGCAGACCGTGCGTCGAGTACTTGCTTTCTCGCGTGGCGGTACTGGAGTTCACTAGCATTGTTTAAAATATTTTCATTTGCCATGAACTTGAAATTATACACTGTTTAACGATCATTTGTCAATTATTACAAGTTCTTCAAAGTTCTTCTTTGAAAGCAAATGATTTCATTTCACTCAAGAATTGTCTTGTCCACCACTATAACCGCCACCCAGCCGCCATCCATTGGAAGAGATAGGCTCTGCGGCACAAAGTGTCGTTTTAAACTGGACTGGGAACCAATGTGTGATGACATTTCGAGCTAAATTTATGCTCATTGTGTACCTAGAAGCATTGCGAACAACGCTCTGACTGTACATTTTTAGTTTTTTGCCTCTAAATGAAAATATTTACAATCAAGTACTTTGCAAGCGCAGTTTAGAAGCTCCCGTAATGCTAAAGTTCTATCTCCTACAAGTATGTAAATACTGCCCTAGGGAACCAACAGTTCGCATCGTACTGGCTTTAAATTATATCCATATTGTTCCCAGTACTTTGCTGAACACTGTGGTGAGTGTACATTTTTCGTTTTTTGCTTTACAAGCGTAAAATTCGTCTGGTTTTACACCGCTTCATTCGCCTCCATAGCCCGGTAACGGCGCCGCGCGGCCCGGCCGGCCAGCGCCCGCTGTATGTTCCAAACACTGCCCGATAGATGGCAGGCGCAGAAGTGGTCCCAGCCGTCCCGGTACGAGCGAAATGTTTACACTTTACATTCACTTATGCCCCTTAACCCCCTGAATTTTGACTTAGAGCCACACAATTTACACAGACGAGAGATGATCTATGGATCCACCCACCCTCTAAATTTGGTACTTCTAAGTGTCACATGTAGCCAATCACCAGGGGGTCATATCCGCTCCCCTCCCCCCCCCAGCCGTCCGCATTATGAAAAGGCCCTGGACTGGCGAGGGTTAACGAAATACATTTGTTCGAACAATACACCCTCACCAGCCCATTATTATATCGTCAATAAGAAAGAATATCTTACCAAATGAAATCTGTCTGCAGGACAAAACCACATAGAAATAAGACACAAACATCTTTGTGATTTACATTCCTGACGAAGTATGTATTTGAGTTGGGCAATCTTCACTTTTCAGCACCATTGTTAAACACGCACGAACAAATGTGATTGTGCTTCTCATGCCAATTGCCAAGACAGAGAAGGAGCGACATTTATTGCAAGCTGCAGTCGTTTCGTCATCTTAGATACACCTAAAGCTACATGAGCTTACAATTTAAAACCAGTGAGCTTGTGCCGAACATATCTAGAGCCTGCAGTTCCGTATAAATCTTCTAAATGCCGTAATAGATTGTTACAGAAACCACTTTGAGCTGCCTTGAACTAATATAGCCCAGCATAATTTATAGCCTCTCTCCCTCATAAGACTGGTAATGTGGCTTAACCCTCGCCCCGTTGGGGGGGGGGGGCATTTTGGCCCCCCCCCCTGTGGTTTTTCCTGAATAGTAAGAAAACGGCGGCGCGCAGCGCCGCCAAATTTTCAGTACCTTCCCGGGCATCAATTTGACACCTTCACACCAAATTTCAAGTCTTAGGTCACCTTAGGTCAGGAGTTATTGAGGTCAAACTGAGGTCATGTTCGAGCAAAAATGAGCAAAAAACATGCAATCTTGAAACGCTCACCAAATCTACAGTTATCAAGCAATTTCAAAGTTCTTTATATGGTCTAGTAGACAAAAAGCGGCGCTACAAAATTTGCTATCTCGGATTTTCAAAATTTTTGGTTTTTGACCAAAAAAAATCAAAAAATTGATTTTTTAGAAAAACTTTAAAAAAATCCAAAATTTTTCCGAATTTCGACAAAACCGGAATATATGTGATAGTCCCAGCGCTCTTTTATATACATACCAAATTTCAGATCGACATCTCGTTTTTTGGCCAAGTTATAGCGAAAAAACTGTTCAAAAATGATGACGTCAAATTTTTTAACTCAATTTTTAGCGATTCTAGACCACGTACGGCAAAACAAAGACCACCATTGAACTCCCCGTGACGAGCTGCATCGATTCGATACCCATTTTATGCAAAAATATTAACTTTGAAATTTGACCTAATTTGACCTGACCTTGACCTGACCTTGACCTGACCTTGACCAAAACGTGACCTAAGCTGGCCCCAAAGGCTGCCTGACCCACATAATCGCATTTGTCATGTAAAATGGACCATAAAACATGTATCACACGACACTTTCATATTGTGACCCCCCGTGACCTGACCTCTGTGACCTGACCTGGTATCAGTGACCTCAAATAGCAAAATATGTGTTTGAAGAACATTTCCCCATCGATGATTTTCAATGAAATGCATTTTACTCGATTTTACAACGCATTTCTTGAAATGCCTGTAAACGGTGAAAATTGGACCTTTGACCTGACCTGTGACGTCATCAGTTTGACCTAGGTCAATAAAATTGGGTCACAAGGTAGTTCCCCGTTGGGGCTATCCAACGCCGTTTACCGCTTGTCGCTATGTTGCGTGGTTCTCGAGATCTTAGGGGGGGCCAAAATGCCCCCCCCCCCCCAACCGGGCGCGTTGCTCGGCGGAGCCCAACGGGGCGCGGGTTAATGTCTGCGGCTTATATTCATCATGACAACATATGTTCATTTGTACGCTTCATAAAAGATGGGACCAGACCGACAACTATAGAGGTCGGTGGACCATGCCACGGTCACATGAGCCAAGCAAATGTGCATTTCTGCCGGGTTTGTGGCCAATGCTCAAGACATTGAAATATCCGTCTGTAATACCCATTTCTATTGGTGTATCGCCGGCAGATAAGAACTGATCATATGAATTGGACCATGCTGTGTGTTCGGGACATGTTGCCAGGACGATAGATCGGATCAAACCATTGAGCAGTTTTCAGCCTGAGGCTATGGCCTACAGAGCTACGGTACTGCCCCGCAACTGACTGCCCAGCCGGTTGTTGTCAAACTAATGGACAAATGCATGCACGTGCCACGTACCTACCTTTGTCAAATATAATGCATTCCTAGTAGCCTTTGGTTATGCCTGGTATACAAGGGATAATGCCAGATGACAACCAAACCCTGACGGACGGGAAAGGTCGCGCAGATAAAAATGCACAAACTTAGAGAGTCCATTTCAATTATATTATTCCCTTTTTCTTTGGCGTGCAGTGCACGTTGACCGACCGATCACCAACAATCAAAGGCCAGGACATCAATGTAAAGTGTGATTTGTGAACTGTGCCAGCGCAGCGTGCACCCATTGCCCACATCGCGTTTGCTGGATATTCATTCGCTTAAGCTATTTTCAGACACTAAAGCTAAGAGTTTACACACAATTGACCAGGAACTGCTCAACAGATTGCGCTTGCATCCTAGTCTATCAAACAGTCCAATTTCAAACCCTTGCGATCTACGTCTTCAAACTTCATTGACCTGCCACAAAATCACTTCATCACGATAACTTAGCACGCAAACTTTCTCAATGTCTCCCTCGTCACCGACGATTGAACATTTCAGCTAACTCGACATTCACACAGGTGGTAAACCATTCTGGACCCTCCCTCCCTCTCCCCTAGCCCTTAACCCCTACCATCATCAATCCACGGCGGCGCTCCGACGCGTGCGTCGCCCCGGCGGCCGCTGATTGGCCGTCGTCGGCGTGACGTCACGGTCGGGCCCCGAGGCGCTTCAGGTCGGCGTGGGAGCGTGGCGGCGCGGCCAGAGGCGGCTCGGCGGCGGTTCAAGATGCGCCTGGTGACGCTGCTCCTCCCGCTGGCGCTTCTGGCCATCCACTCGGCCGGAGCGGCCGAGCCAGACCCCTCCTACATCGACGACGGTGAGAGGCAGGGAGAGAGAGAGAGAGAGAGAGAGAGAGAGAGAGAGAGAGAGAGAGAGAGAGAGAGAGAGAGAGAGAGAGAGAGGGGGGGCCCTCCGCGAGAGATTGACAATGCGGGAATATCTGCTGGGGAACTTCCGCCTATCTACTCTTGCGGATCATGAACTTTGTCTAATGCGTATACAACACAGGGATATTATATGTGTCCGGCCATTTCGCTTCTCATTTGCAATTAAGTTTTGTGGGAAAATGAGGCGAATTTTCTGTCATGATTTGAAGCTTACAGGCGTAACAAAATCTTTCATGGACATTGACAGGGCGCAGCTTAGCGAAGCGGCTCGAATGGACTGCCTAGGATATCATATTGAGTTGATTTCAGGTAGAATCCATCCTTATTGACCTACAGACGCTGCAATGCAGCAACTTTTCTCCATAGCTTACCAAAAAATCACACAAGTTGGAATCAGTCTAAGAAAGGACCAACAATCATGGACATGAGACAACTGAATATGAAAACATATGCCTGCTTGGAAATGATCCTTAGACCTAGAGACACGCATCCCAGTGTAACAAAATCTTGCAATGTCTTGAAGACGCGATGATCTCCATGAAAAATAAACATATGTAGACCAGTACCAGCAGCACATCAATTCGAGCTCCATATTTTATTCGCAATAAACACAACTAACTCCTCCCTTTCATTTAACCCTCGCCCTGGCAGGGGGGGGGGGGTCGATGCGACCCCCCCTAAGGTTTTTCGAAGATAGCGTAAAAACGGCGGCGCGCAGCGCCGCCAAATTTGGCACAGCCTATGGGGCCACCTTTTTACATATGACCTGAAAATTTCAGGTCCGGGTGACCTTGGGTCAGGTCACCAGGTCAGGAAAACCGGTACAAGGTCATGGTCAAATTTCAATTTTCTTTTTGCACCTGTCCAACTCACAGTTTTACACTGATTTCCTTCAAACTTTCAGGATGTGCTAAGTTCACCGAGTTGTATAACATATAGTTTGGTTTTTTTGAGGTCACTGACCTGAGGTCAGTTAGAGGTCATTACGTCGTAATGTTAAGCCTATGGGAAAATACTAAATTCGGAAAATACTGGAGATATCCGCTTCGTTCTATCACTTTTGTGCTTTGAAACCATAGTACTTAACAGCAGGTCACTTGGTGCTTCTTTGTTTGGTGTACTTATCCATGGGTCAGGTCAAATGAGGTCAACTGAGGTCAAATGACGTTTTTGCCAATAACTTGGCACATAATGACGCTAGAGCTTAAAAAATGGTATCATTGTGTTCCTGGTGATCAGCCGAATCGAATGATATGCGATATGATGCAATTTGGTTAACTTTAACTTAATTTATTAATTTAAGTTTACTTAAAATTTAAGAAAAACTTTAAGTACACTTCAACAAGCTAAAAAGTATATCATTCGACGCGCCTTGACGTGCTGAGCTCACTGGTGCTTTTCTTTTTGCTCTATCTTAATTAGATCAAAAGTTATAAGCGAAAAACTTTTGACCTGTTTTTAGCGAAATTTTTACATTCATACCCCCCAAAACCCCCCTAAATATTGACCTAGAGCAACCAAATTTGCACAGGGGCGAGAACTCCAGGGGGCCCACCTACCTACCAAATTTGGTGTTTCTATGTGCCATAGGAGCCAATCGCGAGGGGGGGTCGCATCGACCCCCCCTGCCAGGCCGTGTTATGAAAAATGCCCTGCCAGGGCGAGGGTTAACTGAACAACTAACTGCCTGCGCTAAGAGCTTTCCTGGCATTGTGCTTTGAAGTCTATACGGATCTACATACTTGTATAACATATCAGCTCTAATTTCACATCCATGAGTTACGCTCCAGCCATTTCCGTCAGCAAATGCACCTCGTTCAATCATGTGGTCTGCCATATTGCCGGCAACTGTTCATCTCTTGTGTATGATTAATGCACGTGCAGGGATTTGAGGGCGGCCTCGGGGGCTTGCGGTGAACTTTGGACGTGATTAACCCGGCCGGGCCCGGGGGGTAATCCCAACCACCGCAGCCCGGGGGGGGGCGTTTTTCGCCCCCCCTGTCTAACTCCGTAAATAAGGGAGCTACGGAAACAAAAGCGATACCAAACGAAAGGTCCTTACGAGACGATTCTAATGCACCTAAAATTTTTGACCTCAGGTCAATTTTCAAGGTCAGAGGTCAAGGTCAAAGGCCAAAACCAGCACATGTGTAGTGATCTCAAAGTAAGCCTTCTAGAGGACGGCAGGCTGCATCAAACCGGCAAAATTGGGTGTCAAACGAAAGAAGAGAATCTGAGGATTCTGAAAATGTGCTCCAAATCAAAGGTCAAGGTCAAGGTCACGCTCAAAATTGACCTCAAACTTGGCACTTTTTCACACATCTTGCGTGCTAACTTCCAAGATGTTTTGAAATGTTTTGAGGCTTATCAGTTCCCTATTTGTGGTTCATCTTACGATACAAGGCTGCTCAAAGGTCAAGGTCACAGAAGAGTATCCCTGCTAGAGGCTATTTCACTGATTCAAGTCAGTAATAATAAATAAGACAATTTTGCCATCCGGAAGCTCTAAATGAAGGCTTAGAGGAAAATAGATGCCAGATTCGTGATCAGCGGGTACAAATCCATCATAAACGACCTTTCATGTGTCAAGGTCAACCAGAGGTCATTCGAGGTCACATGAGGTCAACATGAAAGTTGACCTTTTCCGAACAAAATATATATCATTCGACGCGGCTTGACAAGGCGAATGCGATGGTACCACTGCCGTAGCTCTAGGACCATTTTTGTCGAAGTTATTTGCGAAAAACTAAAACCACAATTCGGGGTCGTTGACCTGACCTCTGACCTCAGGTCACCAAAACTATTTTTCTATTTTTCTCTAGGTCAAACGCTACACAGCCGTGCTCGTAATTTGTCTTTATCTCTAAAACTCTATTTTTAGCAGCTATTTGAAGTTTGCGTCTGTGACGCCGATTTTTGCCGTGCAGGGGTCTAGAAAATTGGACCTTGTGACGTCATCAAGGGGGTTAGGTCCATATTTTTTACTTCAGAAGATGTCAAATTGATGGGAGAAAAGGTACTGAAAGTTTCGCCTTCCTATCCCTAAGCGTTCGGGAGTTATCGCAAATATTCGCCAGGGGGGCGAAAAACGCCCCCCCCCCCCGGGCCCGCGAGGGTTAATGATGTGGCGCATATGGAGGAATAGCAGCTGGTGTTCATTGCATGCGGCCATAGCGGACCTCTGTGATACCCAGATATCCAGAGCTCTGGTTGTGGCATTGATGGACCTCGTTTGGCCAAAGTGACTGCGGTGACTTTGAGACAGTAGAAGAAGCCTATTGTAAGTACTTCAGGAACTATGTGTTGCGGTAGACGTGTCTTTTTGGCATCTACATATGTCATCGTATTTATAACTTTCGAAATATACGTTTTGATGGGAAGACTAACCCGCGCACCGACGCACCGTGGGGACTTATGCCATCCTAGCACGCATTAAGTGGCAAGTTAAAGTATTTCGATTTCCACTTTTTTGTTATTCATTCCACGTAGAATTGTCCAGCGCATCCGAATCACACCTTAAATCGTCTGTAAAATGATTGTTTATGCCTCAAAAAACCTCTCAAAGTGTAGCTTCGTCCTGACCAGCGTCGTGCTACCTGCATACAGCGAAAAAGCACACTACAATAAAACGCCCTCTCACTCGTTTCCCTGAACAGCAGGTTATAGTTTCGACATGTTTTCATTATCTTTGACTTATAAGGAAGATGATGGTATGCACGAAAATTTCCAAAATTCATCCAAATGTATAATTTTTGACCAAAATGCTAAAAATGTTAAAATGCTTCTTGATTCAGAGAGTTGACAAGCAAACTATTGCCTTACAAAGTTTGATACGCGGTGTTACGCGTGGAAATGTATATCAAAATGTTCTCCAATAATTTCTGCATCGGGGGCAGCTCTCATTTTTTGCCGAAATTTGCCTAAACCAGTCACTATGAGACGTCAAAGCAGACGGTGCCGCGTGGTTTCTTACGCCCCGCCGGGCCGCGCCGCGGCGGGTTACCCGACCGCAGCACACCGCCTGGGGGTTTCCGGTCAGTATAGGAGTTGGGAGGAGGGAGGAAGGGGGTGATACCATGTTGACATTATTTTTTCTATCGCCAAATGTTCTTTTTGAACAAAACAACAACATCCTTGCAACGCTGCGTCCATTTTATTGGCTATCGCCGCCAATATTCACCTTATTGAACTTCAGTACAGAGCTTTGATATAGGTAAATCGAAAAATGCTGTAACTTTGTTAAGTGAGGTTGGAGGTTTTTGGGGTGCTAATCACGAATTTCAAGCTAGTTTTGATCAAGGATGATGTTTTCATGCTAGGCCGGGTCAGGTCAGGCCCGACCAGTAGGTGTCTTGCCGGCTATCCATAGAAGGTAGGCGTCGATTACCTTTGACGGCTTCGTAGCATGTTCCGTTAGGCACCAAAACTACTTAAATCTTCAAATGGGCGTTAAGTTCGAAATAAGCGCCAAGCACTTATCTAAAAAAATCGTATAACTTGAAAAAGTCAACTAAGGTCATCTAAGGTAAAAGACCTTGATTTGACCTTAACGTGACCTTAAAATGCAAAGAACAAACAGCATTTCATACCTTGGAGAGTTAACAACCACAACAAGACTGAAAACGCGCCGATAATGTGCGCTGATAAGCGCCAAATCGATACCAGCCTGACATGGTCTGGTGAAACAGGTCACGGGTCAAATTTTTATTAAGGTCAAGGTCATGAAATTTTAAGTGTGTGAGTAACATTGATCGAATCGAAGGTATAGAAAGTTTCGTCGTGATCCGCCACGTTTTGCTTGAGTTAGTTGCGAAAAGTCGAGGACAGAAGTCTGTGCGACCCCCTCCCCCTTTAAGTGCAAGGAGTAAGGACTAACAAAGTGCAAAGGTTAAGCCCGAAATGCCTTTTGGTGATTGGGCTGGACATGAAC